ACAAACTGAGGGTTCTAGAGGGGAGGGGGGTGGGGGATGGGTTAGCCTGGTGATGGGTATTAAAGAGGGCACGTACTGCATGGAGCACTGGGTGTTATATGCAAACAATGAATCATGGAACACTACATCAAAAACTAATGATGAAATGTATGGTGATTAACATAACATAATAAAATTAAATTAAAAAAATAAAAAATAAAGTTGAGTGCAAAGTGGCGATTTCTCAAATTCTATTTTCTGCCCTGTATTCCCTCCATCCTGGTCTCTTACCTGGTGCTCCTGGACAACCTCCTCCATGGGGACCGTTTGGTGACCACGGTGCTCCTGAGACCGCTCACAAACCCAGCAAATGACCTTCCCATCCTTCTTGCAGAAGAGCACAAGCTTCTCTTCATGGCGCTCACAGAGATTTCTCTTCTGCTCCTCTTCAGAGCTCATCTTGACCTCTTGGAGCCTCTCCACTATGTTGGCCACATGCCAGTTAGGCCGCAGTTCCCCAGAGCAGAAAGCGATTTGGCACACAGGGCAACTGCTGCTCTTCCTTCCTTGGCTTGTTACAGACTCCTTGTTCTCCTCAGTGATGCAGGCTTTGCAGAAGCTGTGGCCACAGTCCAGGCTCAAGGGTTCCTTCAGGAGGTCCAGGCAGATGGGGCAGGTCACCTCCTTCTCTATGTTTGTAAGGAGTTTAAAAGCCATAACAGCTGCTCCCTTGCTCCTATCTGTCCTGACCTCAGTGGCTCCTCTTGTTCACCGATCCTGTATGATTGGCAAGGTTAAAAGGGGGCAGAGTTGGAAAGAGTAAAATTATAATTGTGTAGAAATCAAGGACAAGCCCAAATCATAATATTGAAGGACAAGAAAGAAAAAGTGGAGAAGGTAGGAGTAGGGGACACCATTTCAACGGGACCCTTGAATTCAGCTGGATATCTATGAAGCCATTCTGAACACCCACAAAAATCAGCCTGACATGTTAAGAATATATATCGGGATCTCTACAAGCAGAAAAGCACTGCCTGTCTCAAGGTAGGAAGGGCAGTCTTGAATCTGCTGGGTGATATCTGAAGATAAACAGAAGGGGGCAGGAGCCACCATAAGCTGGCTCCTGGAAAGTGCTGTAACACCAGAGTGCCAAAGTGTCCTGTGTTGGGGACCCAGCAAAAACTCGCAGAGCAGTAGCGCCTGCGAAAGGGCTTTAGAGCAGTGCTCAGACATGACCCAGGAGCTGATGGTGTGGCGCGAGCCCAGGGCCGCTCGACGTTTTAGAAGCACAAAGGGCAGGGACAAGCCCGGGCCCCTGGGATGACCTCTGAGAGAGTCACTGTGGGTGTGCACCCTGGGAGGCTGAGGTTTTCAGCATCGTGTACAGAAACAGAGACTGTGTCCTGGCGGGTTTAGTGAAGAGAGCAGACTGCAATTTCTCTGCTCTGGGCCAGAGGTTTGGGTGCGGCCATTTGTGCTCTGACCCTCTGAAGAGGTGCAGAAAGCCGCCAGAGAACAAAAGCTCAAAAAACCGGTTTCCAATGAGCCCATTCCCCTAACAGGGGGCAAGGCAACTCCACCCAAGCAGGGTAGCCTGAGAAACAGCGTGGCAGGCTTCTCCCCTGGAAGACAGGCTGGAAGAACAAAAGGGCGACAACCCACGGACCTCATAAGACTGTACAATCTCAACACCAGGGGAAAATAGTATATGGAGCTCCAGGCATTGCCTCACGGCTTGTTTATTTTTCAGATACCACTCTCTTTTTCTTGTTATTCTTTATCTTATGTTTCTTCTCTGTTTTTTCTTTTTACCTTTTTCTCATTTCAACTAGATGTTTAATATATCAACTTATATTTCATAGTAGCTTTTTAACTTGTACTTTTTCACACCTATGTTTTTTTATAGGTACATTTTTCATTGTAGTCCTTTTTTCCCTATTCAATATTACCTTTTTACATATACAAGTTTTACTTTCCCTGTAATTTTGGGAAGTAGTTCTTCTAACAAACAGACCAAAATACACCCAAGAACAACTGAAACACCCTACTTTGTCCACACTGAGAGATTACAGTCCCCCTTCCCCTCACCCCAATTTTTTAAATTTTTATTTATTTTTACTTTTTCATTTTATAAATTTTATTCTTGTGTTTCATTTTGACTTTGTTTTTTTGAGGGTGGCTTCCAACTGCCCTGGATTTTCCTACGGCATGTCTTTCTTGGTCGTGATTGATATTTTGGACTCTGTACATGCCCTCAACCATCCCGCAACAGAATAACTAAGAGGAGGAACTCCCAGCAAAGAAAAGAACCAGAGACAATGTCCTCTGCCACGTTATCTAATGGAAATAAGCAAGATGTCAAAGACAGACTTCAGGGTAGCAATCATGAAGTCAATAGCTAAGCTTGAAAAAAGCATTAGTGACAATATAGAATCTCTAAATGCAGAAATGAGATCTAATCAGGCCCAACTTAAAAATGCTATGAATGAGATGCAGTCTAAACTCATTCTCTAACAACCAGGGTAAATGAGGCAGAAGAACGAGTTAGTGATCTAGAAGATAAGCTGATAGAAAGGAAAGAAGCCGAGGAGGATAGGGATAGGCAGCTGGAAGCCCATGAGAACAGACTTAGAGAGATCAGTGATGCCATGAAATGTCCCAATGTCAGAATTATTGGGATCCCTGAGGGGGTGAAGACAGAGAGAGAACTAGAAGGTATATTTGAGCAAATCATAGTTGAGAACTTTCCTAATCTGGGGAAGAAAACAAGCATTTGTGTCCAAGAGGCAGAGAGGACCCCTCCCAAGATCAATGAGAAAAGACTGACACCCTGACATATAATAGTACAATTCACAAATCTTAGATCCAAGGAAACAATCTTGAAACTGGCTAGGGGGAAAAGATTCCTTACATACAGAGGGAGGAACATCAGAATAACTTCAGACCTATCCACAGAGACCTGGCAAGCCAGAAAGGGCTGGCAAAACATATTCAGGGTACTAAATGAGAAGAACATGAAGCCAAGAATACTTTATCCAGCAAGACTGTCATTTAGAATGGATGGAGAGATGCAGAGCTTCCAAGACTGGCAGAAACTGAAAGAATATGTGACCACCAAGCTGGCCCTGCAAGAAATAGTCAGGGGGGTTCTATAAAAGAAGAAAGACCCCAAGAGTAATAGACCAGAAATTTATGAGACAATCTATAGAAACAAGGACTTCACAGGCAACGTGATAGCGATAAAATCATATTTTTCAATAATCACTCTCAATGTGAACGACCTAAATGCTCCCATGAAAGGCACAGGGTTGCAGATTGGATAAAAAGACATGACCCATCCATATGCTGTCTACAAGAGTCTCCTTTTGAACCTAAAGATACAACCAGACTGAAAGTGAGGGGATGGAGAAACATTTTTCATGCCAATGGACCTCATAAGAAAGCTGGGGTAGCAATTCTTGATAATAATACTTCAATAGTAGGAGACCTCAACACTCCACTCTCAGCAATAGACAGATCACCTAAGCAGAAGATCAATAAAGAAACATGAGCTTTGAATGACACACTGGACCAGATGGACTTCATAGGTATATACAGAACATTCCACCCTAAAACAACAGAATACTCATTCTTCTTGAACACACATGGAGCTTTCTCCAGAAAAGACCACACACTGGGTTGCAAATCAGGTCTCAACTGATACCAAAAGATTGAGATTATCCCCTGCATGTTATCAGACCACAGTGCTTTGAAACTAGAACTCAATCACAAGAAAAAACTTGGAAGGAATTCAAACACTTGGAAGCTAAAGAGCATCCTGCTAAAGAATGATTGGGTCAACCAGGAAATTAAAGAACTTAAACAATTCATGGAAACCAATGAGAATGAAAACACATCAGTCCAAAACCTATGGGATACTGCAAAGGCGGTCCTAAGGGGGAAATACATAGCCATCCAAGCCTCTCTCATAAAATTAGAAAAATCCCAAATGCACAAGTTAACCTTACACTTAAAGGAAATGGAGAAAGAACAGCAAATAAAACCTAAACCAAGTAAGAGAAGAGAAATAATAAAGATTAGAGCAGAGATAAATGAAATAGAAACCAGAAAAACAGTAGAACAGATCAATGAAACTAGAAGCTGGTTCTTTGAAAGAATTAATAAGATCAATAAACCTCTGACCAGACTTATCCAGAAGAAAAGAGAAAGGACCCAAATTAGTAAAATCATGAATGAAAGGGGAGAAATCACGACTAACACCAAGAAAATAAAAACAATTATTAGAAATTATTACCAGCAAGTATAGGCCAACAAATTAAGCAACCTGGAAGAAATAGATGCCTTCCCAGAAACCTATAAACTACCAAGACTGAAGCAGGAAAAAATTGGCAATCTGAATAGACCAATAACCAGTAACGAAATTGAAGCAGTGATCTAAACCCTCCCAAAAAACAAGAGTCCAGGGCCAGATGGATTCCCAGGGGAATTCTACCAAACATTTAAAGAAGAAATCATACCTATTCTACTAAAGCTGTTTCAAAAAATAGAAACAGAAGGAAAGCTTCCAGACTCATTCTATGAGGCCAGCATTACCCTGATCCCAAAACCAGACAAAGATCACATCAAAAAGGAGAATTATAGACCAATATCCCTGATAAACATGCATGCCAAAATACTCAACAAGATCTTAGCCATAAGATCCAACAGTACATTAAAAGAATTATTCACCACGGCCAAGTGGGATTCATTCCTGAGATGCGAGGGTGGTTCAACATTTGCAAATCAATCAACATGATAGAGCACATTAATAAAAGAAAAGATAAGAACCATGTGATCCTCTCAATTGATGCAGAAGAAGCATTTGACAAAATACAGCACCCTTTCCTGCTTCAAAGTGTAGGGACAGAGGGAACATTCCTCAATATCATAAAAATCATCTATGAAAAGCCCACAGCAAATATCATTATCAATGGGGAAAATCTGAGAGCTTCTCCCTTATGGGCAGGAGCTTGACAGGGATGCCCACTCTCACCATTATTTTTCAACATAGTAGTAGAAGTCCTAGCCTCAGCAATCAGACAACAAAAAGAAATAAAAGGCATTCAAATTGGCAAAGAAGAAGTCAAACTCTATCTTCGCAGATGACATGATACTTTATGTGGAAACAAAAGATTTCACCCCAAAATTACTAGAACTCATACAGCAATTCAGAAATGTGGCAAGATACAAAATCAATGCACAGAATACAGTTGTTTTTCTATACACTAACAATGTAACTGTAGAAAGAGAAGTTAAGGAATTGATTCCATTTACAATAGCACCAAAAACCATAAGATACCTCAGAATAAACCTAACCAAGAGGTAAAGGATCTATACTCTAGAAACTACAGAACACTTATGAAAGAAATTGAGGAAGACACAAAGAGACGGAAAGACATTCCATGCTCATGGATTGGAAGGATAAACATTGTGAAAATGTCTATGCTGCCCAGAGTAATCTATACTTTCAACGCCATCCCAATCAAAATACCAATAGCATTTTTCAAAGAGCTGGAACAAACAATCCTAATACTTGTTTGGAACTAGAAAAGACCCCGAATTGCCAAGGGGAAGTTGAAAAAGAAAAACAAAGCTGGGAGCATCACACTGCCTGACTTCAAGCTATATTACAAAGCTGTGATCACCAAGACAGCATGGTACTGGCACAAAAACAGACATATAGAGCAATGGAACAGAAGAGAGACTCCAGAAATGGACCCTCAATTCTATGGTCAACTAATTTTTGACAAATCAGGAAAAAATATCCAGTGGAAAAAGTCTCTTCAATAAATGATGCTGGGAAAATTGGACAGCTACGTACAGAAGAATGTAACTGGACCATTCTCTTACACCACACACAAAGATAAACTCAAAATGGATGAATGACCTCAATGAGAGACAGGAATCCATCAAAATCCTAGAGGAGAACATCGGCAGTAATCTCTTTGACATTGGCCACAGCAACTTCTTTCAAGACACATTCCCAAAGGCAAGGGAAACAAAAGCAAAAATGAACTTTTGGGACTTCATCAAGATAAAAAGCTTCTGCACAGCAAAGGAAATAGTCAACAAAACAAAGAGGTAACCCACAGAATGGGAGAAGATACTTGCAAATGACATTACAGATAAAGGGCTGGTATCCAAGATCTATAAAGAACTTCTCAAACTCAACACTCAAAAACAAACAATCAAGTCAAAAAACGGGCAGAAGACATGAACAGACACTTCTCCAAAGACATACAAATGGCTAACAGACACATGAAAAAATGTTCATCATCATTAGCCATCAGGGAAATTCACATCAAAACCACATTGAGATACCACCTTACACCAGTTAGAATGGCAAAAATGGACAGGGAAAGAAACAACAAATGTTGGAGAGGTTGTGGAGAAAGGGGAACCCTCCTACACTGTTGGTGGGAATGCAAGCTGATACAGCCACTCTGGAAAACAGTATGGAGGTTCCTCAAGATGTTAAAAAGAGAGCTACCCTATGACCCAGCAATTGCACTACTAGATATTTACCCCAAAGATATAGATGTGGTGAAAAGAAGGGTCACATGCACTTCACCTGTTCACAGCAGCAATGTCCACAATAGCCAAACTGTGGAAGGGGCTGAGATGCCCTTCAACAGACGAATGGATAAAGAAGATGTGGCCCATATATACAATGGACTATTACTCAGCCAGCAGAAAGGATGAATACCTACCATTTCCATCAACATGGATGGAACTGGAGGGGATTATGCTAAGTGAAATAAGTCAAGCAGGAAAAGACAATTATCAAATGGTTTCACTCACATGTAGAACATAAGAAATAGCATGCAGGACCATAGGGGAAGGGACAGAAAACTGAAGGGGGATAAATCAGAGAAGGAGACAAACCATGAGAGACTCTGGACTCTGGGAAACAAACTGAGGGTTACAGAAGGGAGGGGGGTGGGGGAATGGGGTAACTGGGTGGTGGGTATTAAGGAGCGCATGTGTTGTGATGAGCACTGGGTGTTATATGCAACTAATAAAACATTGAACACTGCATCAGAAATTACTGACGTACTATACAGTGGCTAACTGAACATAATAAAAAAAAGTTAAAAAAAACACAAAAGTTAGAAAAGATACCACATTTGGAAAGTGCTCCCCTTGCTCCTGATCTCTCAGGTGGCCTCTGGCCTCTGTTTCTGGGTGGCAGATACGGCCCCGGGAGAGGGATGAGTAAGGTAAGTGATTCGGGCTTGCTGCTGTCACCCTGTTAAGCTCCTAAACACAGACAGGCCAAGGTGATGAGAATTTATCTAGAGTCATGCAGAAATGCTACATTGTTACAGGATGGGCATTAAAATGTTAGGATTCAAAGATCCCTCTGCCTTTGCTCTTGCTGTGGAGAGAAGGAACCTTCTATCTCTGAAAAATAGAGGATTCTGGCTTGTCCTCAGCAAGGTGCAATTCAAAATTATAGAATGGGAAGGAGAATCTCCCGGGTAGATTCAGCCTGTAGAAATAAGGTCCTTCCATGAAAGAACAAAGCCTTTCAAGCCTTCAAACCTCCCTTCTTTGGGGACTGCTCCTCCCCCAACCTCCCCAGCCCATATCCCTCCCACCTCTCACTCTCAGCAGGAAGCTTGCAGCTGGGCGTTGCCCCCCTCCACCCTTCACAGCAGCTGCCTGAACACACGTTAAACTCACTCCAAAATTCAGGTCTTCTCCCCACCTCTGCCCTCCACTCCACACACCTTCAGACCCCAGGTGAGAAGTCGTGCCTCCTTGGAGAAGAGTGGAGGCAGGCCACGGGAATATGGTCAGGATTCTCTCAGCAAACCAGGGGCCGATCTCCACCAAGATCCGGAGGTGCTAAGTGAAAATGAAAGTTAAATTCTCTGGTTTGGGCAGGAAAGGAAGAGAGAGGCTGCAGACCAATGGGGAGACCCCTAGGAGGTGACAAGGCTTTGTGCCGGGGGCCAGATGAGCCAGTGGTTGCACTCATTCCTTTCCGTTCCACTCCTAGACGCTGCTCTCCTGACTTTTCAAGGTAATCAGTCCTTTGGAGCACTAGGCTTACCTGAGCAATATAATTTCACACAAATGTGCCTAGCCTTTTTTCCCTACAAATGAGCTGTCATGTAGAGGAAATAATATTCCTTCTTTACCACAAGGAGGGACCCACACTGAAGGCTGCCCTGAGGCAGCCCTAGGAACATGGTCTCTACTGTTCTGAATCCACCCGCTAGAGTAAGTGAATCTGGCCGGGATGTATCCTATGAGGTGTGTGAGAGGGAAGGGCTGTGCAAATCTGCAAGTCCCTTAGTGGGACAGTCAGTGGCTATCATGGAGTGGCAGCACAGTGAGGCTGACCTTCAGAATTTGGATTCAGTATGGCCAAAATGACACTTCTGCTAAAGACGCTGGGAAGATGAAACTGTGGATGGTGTCATTTGTTGGGCAATGCCATCTAATATTATTTAACATATAATCCCTATAATCTTAGCATAATAAAAATGAAGCAGGAAAGTCATTGTGAAGGTTAATTTTGTGTTATCAACTTGACTGGCCACGAGGTGCCCCCATTAAACATTTGTGGGTCTGGGAGGTGGTTGTTTCTAGATGAGATTAGCATTTGAGTCTGTGGACTCAGCAGATTGTTCTCCCCAGTGTTGTCGGGCATCATCTGATTTGTTGAGGGCCTGGGAGAAATGAGGAATTCATCCCTTTTGTTTCCTGTTTGCCTGCTTGAGCTGGCTATAGGTTCTCTCCTGTCCTTGGACTGGAATTTACACCATCACCTACTCTGGCTCTGCAGCCTTTGGTCTTGGACTGAATGACACCACCAGCTTTCCTGGGTCTGCACTTTGCAGGTGCCAGATCCTGGAACTTCTCAGCCCCCATAATCATGTGAGCCAGTGCCTTATAATAAATCCCCTTTATGTAGGTTCTGTTTCTCTGGAGAACCCTAACAATTCTAAAGATTTTTATTTATTTATTTAATTGACAGAGAGAGAGAGAGATAGCATGAGAGGGAACACAAGCAGGGGGAGTGGGAGAGAGAGAAGCAGGCTTCTGGCTGAGCAGGGAGCCTGATGCGGGGCTCGATCCCAGGACCCTGGGATCATGACCTGAGCCGAAGGCAGTTGCTTAACCAACTGAGCCACCCAGGCGCCCCGAACCCTAACAATTCTAAAGTTTTGTGTCAAATGGCACAGGTGAATTGTGGTAATGACAGTGACAATGAGACAGGTGAAATGTGTGGTTTCTAAGGACACATGCCAAAGAGTGATGCAGGAGAGGTAAGGGCACATGGAGGATGTTGTAGAGGTAATAGGGTTTAAAAAGTCAACTATAATCCCATAAGACCTAGTCAGATAGGAGGGAGTCATGGGTTAAAAAAAAAAAACTTTGAGTGGGATCTGCCATCTGAGTCAGTCAATCTGGGGTGTGGCTGTCTTTCACAGGAAAAGAGGTAGTTGAATAAAGAAGTTCCCCTACTTTAACTCCCTATTCTCATAGGCCTTAGGATCTTGTTATCATGCCACTTCTTCTGATGTCTCTTCATATTATTAACAAGCATGCATCTTATTTTGTTGTTGTTGTTGTTGTTGTTGTTGTTGCTTGAACCCTGAGATCAAGACCTGAGCTGAAATCAAGAGAAGGATGCTCAACCTACTGAGCCACCCAGGTGCCCCTCATTTTGTTCTATTAAAAGTTGTCAGGATGCCCCTTATGGAAATTCCTCCTACATGCTCTTCTAGCTGTCTCCCAGGTGAGCTCAGTTTCTGGGTGGCAGAAATGGCCCAAGAAGAAGGATGAGCAAGGTTAGTTTTTCTGTTGTTTGTTTGTGAACTGCAGTAGATCCCTGAGTTTGAACTTGCAAATCTTGTAAGACTAGAAAACACCAAAGAAACCGCAAAGCAGAGCAACCATCACCCCATTAAGCCTCTCAAACCTAGGGAGGACAGGGTGCTAGGAATTTCTATGGAGTGTCATGCAGAAATCCTACACTATTATACTGAAACATTAAATTGTTAAGCTTCAAAGAACTTTCTGACTTTCCTTTATTGTCTTCCTCAAAGTATCTTTTTCATCCCTGAGCAGAGCCAGGCCTAGTTCTCTTCTCTACTGCTCTCAGTGCGGAACTGGTCCAGAAGCCTGGGAGGTGGCCCACGGACACGTCATAGGCTCTTTGTCTAGGGCTTTCTTTGTAGAATTTTTCTGGAAGTCGTTTCTAAAACTGGGGTTACTCCTAGAGGTGAGGACTCAGTCACTATTCCTTGAATTGGAAAATGAAAATGCGTGAGTGGAAGGCAAGAGAGAGAAGTGCAATGGGAAACCTAATGTTATTACTGATCTTATCAGTGGTAATCACCCACCTCACATTGCACCCCCAACTGTAAGTTTCATGAAGTCAGTGAGGGACTTTCTCTATTCTGTTGCTTATTACCTCAAATCTATTAGAAGTTATTGCAAATAAGGACTGATAGATATGCAGATATATAACTATAAAAATATTTTTAATTGAATGGAACATCTTGATGATAAATCATACTTCTAGTCTACCATTCTTGCTGTGAACACAGTTGCTGTCATATCATATAATTCAGTTATTCTTGGGATGCCTGGGTGCCTCAGTCGGTTAAGCATCTGCCTTTGGCTCAGGTCATGGTCCCAGGGTCCCAGGATTGAGTCCTGCATTGGGCTCTCTGCTCACCGGGGAGCCTGCTTTTCCCTCTCCCACTCCCCCTGCCTGTGCTTGCTCTCTTTCTCTCTCTGTCAAGTAAATAAATAAAATCTTTAAAAATTTTCAGTTATTCTTCTGGTATCAATAACATATGTATGATTTCCCTTTGATAATTTTTTATTGAAGTGTAATTAACATACATTATATTAGTTTAGGTGTACAACATAATGATTCAACATTTGTATACATTGTGAAATATTCACCACAGTAAATCAAGTTACTATCTATCACCATAGGAAGTCATGAAAAAAAATGTTTTTCCTGTGATGAGAACATTCAAGATTTACTTTTGTAGCAACTTTCAAATTTGCAACACAATACTGTTTGCTATAGTCACCATGCTATACATTATACCCCCATGACTTATTTTATAACTGGAAGCCTTTACTTCTTGATCCCCTTCACCCATTTTGCCCACCCCCAAACCCTGGACTTTAGCAACCACCATTCTGATCTCTGTATCAATGAGTTTTGTGTTGTTTGCTTGTTTTGTTTTTCAGATTACACATATGAGTGAAATCATGTTATTTGTCTTTCTCTGACTTATTTCACTTATACTTAGGCCTTATACTTAGCATAATACCCTCAAGGTCCATCTGTGTTGTTGAATGGCAAGATCTCACTCTTTTAATGTCTGAGTAGTATTCTACTCTATTATTCCATTGATGGACTCTTGGGTTGTTTCCACTTTTTGACAAATACTAATCAACTTTTTTATCTCCTGTTTTTTTCCTAAGGTTTACTTGGATTGGTGTTTAATCTGTCTCCACCAACACACTTTAACTATGTTAACTCTTGCTTTACTCTATGGTTTTCTCAAATGGGAAAGTGTTTGAAAATCCATGGGTCAAAGCAGGGGATATTTCATTAGATTCCTCTCCAAGTAGGAGATGTAATGGCTGGAGGGAAAATACAGACCCCTAAGAAAGATTTATTTTTCCCTGTAACTCAGAATATACTGAACTGGAATATGGAACATACCAACATATTCAGCTCTGGTGAAAAAAAATGTGCATGGTGAGAGAAGTGTAAATCCAAGTATTCTGCTTGCTCAAGTTTTCAGGTATCTTGACGAGACCTGATTTCCTCACTGATTTCTCTCAGCTCTCATAACACAGTCCCAAGATATTAACCAAGGATGTGGGGTCAGTTAAGCAATTCAGAGGAAGAGGAGTAAAACAATGGATCTAATATCCATTAGATGGGATTGGGAAAGGAAGAAGTACCAGACAGAGAAGAGGTCTTTGGCTAAGGAAGCTCTTTCCTTCTGAACACTGCAATCAATACCACTATGCTGTATTCATCACACAGTCGGACTCAGCTCTCCAATCCTCTTCAGTTTCAACCAAATATACCAAAAAATACACCTATTCTTAATATCTCGGCATTGACCACCCAACCCTATACCATCATTGTTCCCTTTCTGAATTTGTGGGAATGCAAAATGGCATAATCACTTTGAATAAAATCTGGTGGTTTGTATAACAAAAAAGGGAAAAAAAACACTAAAATTCAGCGATTGAACTTATAGCTTAGACTATCCAGAGCAAGAAAAACTAAAGTTCTGTTTCTATAAATGGAGGTATATATTCTAACAAAGCAGCACCCATAACCTATATATCAATGCTATAAACTTTGAACAATTATAAAAACAAAGCAAAACAAACAAAAAAAATGAAGGCACTAGAGACTGATAAAACACTTAGAACCTAGAGTGTAATAGACAATTGGAGGAAGGTAATACTCTTGGAGGAGTTTTCTGGTTTTATGGCTTTTTATTTGAAAGCAAAACTCAATTGGTAGTGAGTGGAACAGTTAAAACTCAGCGGCATACAGACTTATTAGCTTGAAGAGCAAGAAGAATGATTTGGAGCTATCACAACAGCTGAAAAATGGTAGGACAATGTCTGTAAAAAAGAGATCCAGAGGATGAAATCTCAAATTGTACATACACACTGAGCAACTCTCTGAAATACACATGTTTGAGGCAGACACCAAGCAGCCCAAATAGAGATAAAAGAACTGACCAGAGATTTCAGCTTCTGCAAATTCAGGGGACAATTTCAAATTTGAGTTCAACCAAATGCCTGAAAAAAAATATTCGTCAGAAAAATAAACAGAACCCAGAATCTTTACATCCCATTCACAATTCCCCCTGGGGAATTTTAGATACATGTTAAAATTGTTTAACATACAAAGAAACAAATGTGGTCCATACTCAAGGACAAAGGCAATCAGTGGAGATCAATTCTAAGATAATGCAGATGTCATATTTACAATAAGGACTTACAACAAGGAAGACAAGGACTTCACAGCAGCTATCATATCTAGGGTAAAGGCTATGAAAGAAAATATGCTTATAAAATGAGCAAATAGGAAATGTCAAAAAACAAAAATAGTTTTGTTAATTGAAATACTAAAACTAAAAGCTGCAATCACTCCAAATAATAATCTAGGACTGGCTTAAGAGAAATTCAGGATCACAAAAGAGAGACTAAGTGAACTTAAAAGTAGATTAATGTAAATTATCCAATATGAAAATAATGAACAGAACCTCAATAATCTGTGAAAAAAAATCAGGGTACTAACAACATAGGCATAAACCACAGAATAACTACGAAAATACAATAATAACAAAACCATAAAGGTAGTTGAATTAAATGAGAAACAAAAGGGCAAAAGTTGCATGTTCATTTCAATACATGCAGAAAGAATACATGCATTGCACAAAGACATTCTATAATAAAAGGAGAAGGGAAGGAAGAGGTGTTCGGAAGAGTGCAGGTAAGCTCAGGTGTAGATGAGCCCCAGGACAAGAGGTTCTACACAGAAGTGGGTTAGCGGCTAAGAAGGTTCAGGAACATGGTGGGCACAGGATGATGGGGCCTGGACAGTTCCAAGGATTGAAGTATGGATAAGCAGTGTGAGAAAAGCAACATTTAGAAAATTTGTAGATGAGTGACCCGTGGTTTGTGACATTAAAAAATGAGACAATGCCTGCATCATAGTCTAGGAAAACCCCAACACGATGGGGAGGGACAGCCATGGAAATAGTCAAGACCCTGGGATGAGATGTAGAAGACTCCTCAAAGGCCTTATACTCAAATTTATTCTGTAACCCAATAACCCAGTAGCCACATTGAGGTCTGTATCTGGAGTAAACATTCTGATGCACTGTGCCTTGTCTAACGCCAAACTTTATATTACGGAAACGTGTTCTACAGTATACCCCCAGAATCCAGGCAGTCTTCTGGGACACATCGATTTCCCAGTAGTGTTTCCCTGAAGAGAAATATTGGGAGCCCAAGATACCATAATTAGTACACTTAACAGGCCAAATTGGCACAGACAGCACTTTTCTCTGATCTTCTGAAAGGACAAGGCTTAAATTTAAGTTGATTGGATTCAGTGTGATGTCCACTGCAGAAAAAAAATAAAAATTGTAAGATCAGGTGAAAAATAGCGGATAGGTTTATCTGGTTACATTGTGAAGAGGGAAAGTGGGAAGTGACTAGGTAGAGCTTGTAGTGATGGATTGGGGAGGGGGTAAAACACTGGAGAAATGTATTTCATATATATATATTCTAAAATACATATAGAAATATATAATATTATATATATAAACACATGGAGCTAAGGTCATGAAATCACACTGAAATCACAAGTTTATGAAAGGGTAGTAGAACACAGGGATTTAAAGAACCAGTAACTTCTTCTTACCCCAGTAGCACTGGACACGTGTTAGCTCTGAAACGATAAGAGATTCAGTGATGTTGATTGGAAGCAAATGATGAAGCACCAATACCTATCTCTTCTCTGGAGTAGGGCCAGCAAACGGGAGCCCTGTGAGGCTATGAATTGGTGAAAGAGATGATGAACTAGGCACCTTGCCATTCCCCCTTAGATATAACCACATCTCTCTCAGCAATATCCCTCCTTCTCTGAATACCCTCCTCCTTTCTATCCTCTCTTTGAAACTACACCAGCTCCCCAATTTAGTCGCTGACACCACAGGAGTCCCACATCCACCCTCCCATTCTGGTTCTCCTCACCTCTATACGTGCGCAGCATTGTGCTCAGATCCGGAGCATGGAATACACTCTTCAGTCTTTTGGAAACAGTTTTTGGCTTCTTCAGTGTCCAGATCTCACTCCTAGGCATGACAAAAATGTTGACCCTACATCTCTTACTTTGTACCCTTCCAAAACAACTGCCTTTTTTTCTCCTTCCATGCCACTGATGCACTTGAACCCTTCTCCCTGAGAAGCCCGAGTTGGGAAGAAGGGAGAGTCCTGATGCTGAAGCCAGAAGAAATGTGCTCATGTCTACCTTCTCATTTACTATTTGTAACCTTGGGAATGTCTTCACCTTAAATAAACAGTTTATTCTTCGTAAAATGGAATAATTAACCTTTTTCTTGATACCTCATGGACATACTAGAAAATTTGATGAAATAACATGTAGAAAAAGCCTTTGCTACCTCTAAAAAAGGTATGCAATATGTGGTAAAGTCATCACAGTGGTCTTTCATGGAGGCCATAGATGTGTCTTTCCAGGCAGATAGATCAGTAAGTAGTGAGGCTGCAGATCCTAGCTATAATGTGAGAACCATAAGTCTCTTTTTGAGAGCCTGTGAGCTTGTGCCCTCATCCAAAGCCTGAAACCCAGTGGTGTGACCCACAAATAACATTTGAAATTTCAGGTGCTCTGTTGAAAACACTTGGCAAAGGAGAAGTTATGACCACTGAACTACAAATGGTTAGAATTTCCTGTGTTTGTAAGGAATTTAATTCTGTCAGGTCGGTTAGCAACTTAAGCCACAAGAACTACACTTTCCCATTTAAGTTTCTAACATGTGTGACGAGGAAGAGATTAGTTATGGCACCAAGGTCAATGTCACTAACCCTGAGGCTCAGGTTTGTTTTTGAAAAACTAAACAGAACCTTGTAGAATGACCTGGTCTTTTATATTTCCGTGTAAGCAAAGTAAATATAAAGGGCTGCCCCTATAACCTATTTTAGGGCTTGATGAAGCCCTCCATGTGATAGGATAGGCACCTATGGAATACAGAAATGAGCGTAAGGACAAAGTGAAGTCACAAGAGTCTGATAGTGAAATCCGTGATCATTATTACCTTTACCATGCCTAATTCTGTGAACTCCAACCACTGAATTCACTACCGTAGAATCTGGTCTATTCTCCTTAGGTGGGGAACACTTAAATCCTTGTCAATGATCAGCAATTTAAAATAATTCTACATCCAAATTTCCCTGATTTGGAATATTTTTCATTCTGATTGACCATCAGAATATTCTTATGGCTACAAACCTTTCTTCATAACACAAAAGCACCAGTCTTGGTCACCTATCATACATACCATTTCATGATTCCACTCATGTCCTAGGAAGAAGAGAGAAAACATGAGTCAAGGAGTATATAAAAATTAGAGCAGGATTAATGAAAGAAAGAATAGAAAAACACTAGAGAAAATCAGAGAAATCAAAGGTGAACTATTTGAAAATACCGACAAAACTGACAAGTTTTTATGCAGACATACCATGAAAAAAACAGAGAGGACAAATTATTAAAATCAGAAATGAGGGCACCTGGGTGCCTCAGTTGGTTAAGTGTCTGCCTTCGGCTCATGTCATGATCCCGGGGTCCTGGGATCAAGTCCCGCCTCAGGCTCCTTGCTCAGCGGGGAGTCTGATTCTGCTTCTCCCTCTGTCCCTCCCCCTGCTTGCGTGCTCTCTCTCTTTCTCTCCTTCTCTCTCTCTCCCTCTCTCTCAAAAATAAATTTAAAAAAATCTTAAAATCAGGAACAAAAGGGAAGACATTACTGCCGACTTTTACAAAAATTAATAGGAGTATAAAGACTGTGAGCAACTGTATGCCAACAAATTAGATAATCCACATGAAATGGACAAATTCTTAGAAACACAGAAACTACCAATACTGATTCAAGAAGTAATAGAAAATCTGAATAGTCCTAAAACATGTAGTGATTAGATTGGAAATCAAGAACTTCCTGCTAAGAAGTCAGGCCTAGATGGCTTCACTGGTGAATTCTGCTAAAGGTTTAAAGAGGAAATAATAGAAACACTTTACAAATTCTTCCAAAAAATAGAAAAAGAGGTCACAATACCTGACTCATTCCATGAGACCAGTACTACTCTGATGCTAAAACTAGACAAAAGCATCACAAGAAAAGTGAACTACAGGCCAGTATTTCTTATGAATATAGATGTAAACTTCAACAAAATATTAAAAAACGGAATCCAACAAAATATGGAAAAATATATATACACCATGGTCAAATGGGATTTGGTTTAACATAAGAAAAGCAATTAATGTAATTCATTGTTATTAATAAAGGTAAAAACGACGTGATGATTTTAATAGACACAAGGGGAAAAATTTGACAAAATTCTGCATCCCTTCATGATAAAAACAACAAAAAAGGAATAATAACAACCCACTAGGGATAGAGGGGAACTTCCTCAGCCTGATAAAGGGCATCTATGAAAAACTCGTAACATCATCCCTATGATGAAAAACCTAATGATTTTTCCCTGAGCTTAGGTACAAAACAAGAATGTCTACTCCTACTACTTCTATTTAAAGTGGTACTAGAGGGCGCCTGGGTGGCTCAGTTGGTTAAGCGACTGCCTTCGGCTCAGGTCATGATCCCAGGGTCCTGGGATCGAGTCCCACATCAGGCTCCCCCTGCTCTGCGGGGAGCCTGCTTCTCCCTCTGCCTCTGCCTCCCACTCCCCCTGCTTGTGCTCTCTCTCTCTCTCTGTCAAATAAATAAATAAAATCTTAAAAAAAAATAAATAAGTGGTACTAGAGGTTCTAGTCAAGGCAATTAGGCAAGAAAAAGAAATAAAAAGCATTTATATTGGAAAGAAGTAAGACTCTCTCTATTTGCAGAATACATAGTTTATATATAGCAAAGTTCTGCTCCATACACTGCCTTTATGTAACCTCTTCCACTTCTTAAATTTCAGCTCACATGCAGGTGCTGTTGCCCCCAAACTTTATATAATCTAATCATGGTCTATTGTCTCTAATCACGTATACAGGTTAATATAATACACAATGAAGAAGAAACACTAACCAAAAGCCCAGAATATCTAAAATATAACCTACTATTCACCCACTATATTGTGTCCTCTCTTATGTCCACTTGTCAAATATGGTAACAATATTCACTTAGTCCCTGTCTCAAACACTAAAACACCCTACCAAGCCAGTCCATTCCACATCCTTAACTTCTTCTGGCTAATCTGCATTTCCACATCATCACGACTATGGATTTATTTGTTTTCAACAATATATAAATATATTTGGCCTTACTCTTAAATGCCACCAGCTGGGTTAACCAAAACAAAGGAATGGTTTTGCATCCCTGGATTAGTATAGTTTGGTTGTATATGACAAAGAAGCCACCTAACATTGCCTTAAACTACCCCCTACTTGCCACCCCCCCCAAAAAAAAAACATGTGGCCAGAGAAATATTATTTCAGTCATAGGTGGATCTGGAAGCTCAAATGCTATCATATATGTGGCTTTTCTGTGTCTCATAATTCTCTTTTCTTCCCTGTCCGTTGACTTTATTCTCAGACTTTAATTGATAGCAACTTGAAATCTCCTGGTTTAAATTATTTTCACTGATATAATTCACAGGCAAAAGGACAATTTTCTTCAATGTAGTGACAATACAATTCTGATGCCTCGAGCCACTGACCAAAATTGGGTCATATGCCCAACTTCTAATGCCCAACTGTGTAGTCTGTGGAAATACAGGAATTAGATAAACTAATTTACATAAGATTAACCTATGCATCCTCCTTGATGTTGATTATCTTAGCCCCAAACAAGTACATGGATAAAAATAGACATGCTGTGTTTCATCAGAAAGAAATCCCAGGTGTTGCTGGTAACAACAACAAAATACTGGAACAGTTTTCCAGTATCCGTCTGGATACTGAACAGATAAAAATGATAGGTGCCATGTTCACTCCATTTAACTCCCTATTGTCATTCACTCATGTGTCATGCTACAAAATTTGAAAAACAAAATGGCCCAATGTAATAATACTATTACAAAACATTAAGAACAGAAGTGCCTCCTTTCTATATCTCATCTAAATTTTCATCCATTTTCAAGTTTGGCACTTCCATTTTCAAGAATGAGCACTAGCTCATTCTTCCCAGTCAGTTTTGAGTGTAGCCCTCATGCAAACAACAGTCCCTCTAGCAAACAATAGGCATATAATAAAATGACCCATCCAAATCACTATAATGAAGATCCAGACAAAAGAAAAGCTGTTTAAGAGTTTCAGGAAACAGGGTTATGAAGGGATAGCACCACAATCAATAGCATATATCTCAACATGTTGGAAAGGAACATCCAAACTCCCTAATCTAGTAAAAGAGTAAATTCCTTGGTTAGCCCATTTGTCATTCTTTGAAGCTGTTATCTAAATGTGGGAAGTTAATCCCACAAAATGTATAACATTTATCTACTGAGCACCGTTTTTATTACAAGTAACCAGGTACCAACTTAAGCTGGCTTAAGCAGAACAGATGCCTGGCAAAGTGACATAAACACGAGTCTTTGTGAAGTTGGCAATAGAAAGAGTTGTGAAGAGCTTGTGGATGAACTATAAACAAGGGAAAAGGAATAAGCCTGCAAAGTTTTTGTTTTTACTCAGATATAACAAAATACCAAAAAAAAAAAATCACCTTTTATAGTGCACAATTTAGTAGGTTTTAGTATATTTACTATGTATATTTACCATCACCACTATTTAATTCCAGAACATTTTCATCATTGCAAAAAGACACCTTACTCTCAGTAGCAACCATTTCCTGCCTCCTCTACAGTCCCTGGCAACTACTAACCTAATGTCTGTGTCTATGGATTTATCAATTACAGACTTCATATAAATGGAATCATATAATAAGGGCCTTTTGGGTCTGTCTTCTTTCACTTATATTTTCAAGGTTCATCCATGTGGTAGCATCTATTAGTGCTAATTTCTTTTTAGAGCCGAATAATATTACATTGTTTGGGTATAACACATTTTGTTTATTCCTTCTTCAGTTAATGGAGAATTGGGTTGTTTCCACTTTTGAGCTATTGTGAACAATGCTGCCATGAACTTTTGTATACAAGTTTAGCTGTGGACATGTTTTCATTTCCAGGAATGGAATTTCTGGGCCATATGGTAACTCTATCTTCAACTTTTTGAGGAACTGCCAAGCAGTTTTCCAAAATAGCTTCACTATTTTACAACTTCACTAGCAATATATGAAAGTTCCAATTTCTGCACATCTTTGTCAACTCTTGGTATTGTCCATTTTTTTTGGTTTTGGTTTTACATTTCCCTGATGGCTAATGATATCAGTCATCTTTTCATGTGCTTATTTACTATTTATATATCTTCTCTGGAAAAATATCTATTTAAGTCCCTTTTTAAAAAAGATTTATTTATTTATTTGAGACAGAGAGAGCAACTGAGTGGGGAGAGAATCCCAAGCAGAATCCACACTGAGTGTGGAGCCTGACTCAGGGCTTAATCTTCTGATCCATGAGATCATGACCTGAGCCGAAATTACAAGTGGATGCTTAACCGACTGAGCCACCTAGGCACCCCTCAAGTCCTTTATCCATTTTTAAATTAGGTTGTCTTTTTATTGTTTTTTTTAAAGATGTATTTATTTATTTGATAAAGAGAATGCACACATAAGCCAGGAGGGGGGGGGGCAGAGCAGAGGGAGAGGGACAAGCCAACTCTGCGCTGAGCACAGAGTCAGATGAGGGGCTGGATCCCAGGACCCTGAGATCATCACCTTAGCTGAAATCAAGAGTCAGATGCTTAACTGACTGAGCCACCAGGTGCCCCAGGTTTTCTTCTTATTGTTGAGTTGTAAAAGGTTTTCCCTATATCATGAATACTAAACCTTATCATATATATGATTTGAAAATATTTTCTCCCATTCTGTGAGATGTTTTTTCACTTGTACAAGTGTCCTTTGAAGCACAACAGTTTCCAATTTTGATGAGCTCCAATTTATTTTATTTTTGGTTGCTTCTGTTTTTGGTGCCGTATCTGTGAAGCTATTGCCTAATCCCAAGTCACAAAGATTTATACCTATGCTTTCTCCTAAGAGTCTTATAATTTTTGCCTTTTTACTTACATTTAGATTTTTGATCTACTTTGAGTTAATTTTTGTATATGGTGTGAAGTAGGAGTCTACCTTCATTTTTTGGCATGTGGATATTCTGTTTTCCCAGCCTAATTTGTTGAAAAGACCTATTGTAGATTTTATTAAAATTTGTTTAGTGTTATAATCACTTAGAGATCCTAATGCAAAATGCATTAAAAAATGCAAAATCTACGTTACTACAATGGGTCTGAGGACCTAAGGTTTTTATAGCACTCCAGGTGATTCCGATACAAAAAAAAGATTTTGTGACCTCTGCCCCAGAGTAATCTGAAATCAAAAAAGAAGAAAAAAAGTCAAGGGAACTGAAAAAAAAGAAAAAAGGAGAAAACTAAGATACAAGCATCAGAGACAAAGGAAACAAGCCAACATGTGAAAATCAATTATCCTTCTGCTTGACATCAAGAATTAAAAAAAAAAAAAAAAAAGTGTTTGGAAATCCAGAAAAGAAAAGGAAAAAGATAGGGAATCAGGTAAAAACTATGAAAAGTCTGGAATTCCCTGAATGACCATCATACATCATGGCTCAGAATCACAGTCACAGTATTAAAGCTTCAAAAAAAAAAAACTTTAAATTTTAACAAATTGTTGCCTCAAGTGTCTATAGATTTGTACCAGCATGCTTTCCTGACACCAGCAACCTTTCTGGCACACACACAACTCACATACACACTTGCACACAGACTCTCACCACTCAAGTATAATACCTCCTATCCATATATTTGCCCATCCTCCTAAGAAAAGGCTCAATGTTCTATCTCTTCATGTTTAAAAAAAAAATCTAACAAGAGAAGTTTGTAATAATAAATACAGATTTTTTTTAATTAAAAAAAAGGGATAAATTTCTTATACCTGAAAATTCATGTATTTGCCTATGGCTAAGATGAATGAAAAGAACTTGAAAATTATCCAACACTGGATCACAGATAATAGGGGTCTAGAGAATATCACTGGATACCAGGGATCTTCTCTCCAAGGTCAAATGTATTCCCTTACTTCATAAAATAATAAAGTAGGACACTCCCCTGGAATGCTTATATTCGATGGTCCATGATATCTTGAATGGATGACAAAGAATGGCTCCACAAAGCCAAAGGAACCTCTTAGTGTCAACACCAAGATCAGAGCCCAAGGACACAGAAAAGAAGGTAGCTTAGACTGTGTTTCAAGAATTCCAGAGTGCGGCATTCCTCTTACCTGCAGCAGGTCCACTGTTGACCATTTACGGCGATGCTCCAGATCTGAGATGAGCTCTTTCACCAACTGGTTCTGCTGAGCCAGCTCAGCCTCAGCCTCAGCCAAGCTATCCAGGATCCTCTTCTCCTCTCCCTCCAATTCTTGCAGTTCTCTCTGCTCCTCACTGTCCAGGATGTTTCTAAGCTGATCGAATTCTGTCCATATCCTTTGTCTCTCAGTCTGTATCTGGAACTGCAAGGTTGGACAAACAAGAGAGGTAAAGAGTCTATCTGCCTGAAAACCTACTGTATAAGGGATTAGGAGCCAAGAAAAGAAATAGTTTTTCACTGAGTTCTACCCAAGAGGGAAATGGAGGCACAGGGGCAATTTTTGGGAAAGCTGGGTATTTTTCCTACTATTTTCCCTTTAGTAAACAGGCCTCAGACTGTCTTATCTAGGCCAACCCTGGGATGAAATGTAAAACCTAAGTGAGGTTTAGGTTGCAGATGGCTGTATTGGACACTCACACCTCCCCGCATTACCATACTTCCAAGTTTGAACCTTGGGGAAAATCTTGGTCTTTTGCCCATTGTCTTTCACTGGAGGTGTCAGAGTCTCATTGGAAAAGAGGAATGGAAGACAGAATTTTCCATCCTTCCTCACCGAAGAGTCTGTCTTTATTCTCAATTCCAGATACCTGTGTGTACTTGTAACATGTCCACTCTCCAGCCCTCAACGTAACAGAGACAGGACAAAGAGGGGAATTAATCAAATGGCTTCTGGATGCATTCTGTGTCAGGGAACAAAGAGGAAGGGGCTTCCTTGTGATTTGGACTGAAGGTCCTGCCAAGATTCCTGTGTCAAAAACCCCTTAGAAAGTCTCTTCCTACCTTCCAGGAAGTCCGCTCTTCTCTGATGTCAGCTTCCAACTTCTCAGCTTTCTGCTGCTCCTTCCTCAGCCTCTCCAGAGCTGCCTGGAGCTTCTCCTGTGAAAGAGAAGTCACATCAGATGACTCACATCAGGACTCATCAACAATCTATGAGCTTTCACAGCAAAGAATAAATGGGGAAGAAATCAGGCTGATCCCTGAAGAGACCAGTTTACAGAAATTGTGATTAGAATCTATGATACAGGAGAAAACCTAAGGAGAATACAACCTTTGTTCCTGGGTGTCACCATCCCTCACCAAGAGTAGCCTAATTCTCTCTTTTCATAGAGGATTGATTCTGCAGTCCCAAGAAAAATCCTATACTCTTACTGACACTCTTTCCACATCCAATCCGCAACGTTGAAGAGCAACCATCCTGCTGAGGGGAACAACGAGAGCCAAGCTCTCCACTCATATAACAAAAGGGGAAAAAAAAAAAAGGAAAACCTCTCACTCTTGGCCAAGAGTCTAGGCTCTAGACTCTAGGCTCATTCCCTCCCTTTATTAGGATTTATTTATTTGAGAGAGAGTGGGGAGAAGGGGCAGAGGAAGAGAGAAAGGGGAAGCAGACTCCCCATTGAGCCTGGAGCCCCATGTGGGGCTGGATCTCATGACCCTGAGATCACAAGCCAAGCTGAAACCAAGAGTCAGAGGCTTAACTGACTGAGCCATACAGGCACCCCAAGGCTCATTCTTTATGTAAGTGGAAGGAATACACAGAAATGTCCTTCAGGCATTGGAAGCTGAGCATAGTGTAAGAGACATACATGAAAGGAGATTACAGGGCTCAGTACCATGGTGCCAAGCTGTGTACAGAAGGATGGAAAGGTGAGATTTCCCACCAAGTACCATCTTCCTCCTCTCTCCCTCCATCCTGGGCCCTACCTGACATTCCTTGACTACTTCCTCCGCGGGGAATGTGTGGTGACCATGGTGCTCCTGAGACCGCTCACAAAGCCAACAAATGACCTTCCTATCCTCCTTACAGAAGAGCAGGAGTTTCTCTTCATGGTGCACACAGAGGTTTCTCTTCAGCTCCTTCTCTGGGTTCAACTTGGACTCTGTGATTTTCTCCATTATGTTGACCAGATGCTGATTAGGACATAGGTTTCCAAGTGAGTATCTGATGCCACACACAGGACAGCTGCTTTCCTCTCCTGGGCTGATCTCTGACTCCTTGGTGTCCACAGTGATGCAGGCTTGACAGAAGCTGTGGCCACAGTCTAGAGTCAGGGATTCTGTCAAAAGCTTCAGGCAGATGGGACAGGACACCTCATCTTGTATGTTCAGGATTTTTAAAGCCTTAGTACATCTCCCCTGGCTTCTTCCTGTCCTAACTCCTGGAGCTCTTCTTGCTTAAAGGTTCCTGGATGGCTGGGCAGATTGAAAGGGGATGAGGTAAGAATGGCAGTAGTAAAACGGTTTTTAATTGTGCAGATATTAAGGATTGGCCAAAACTGAAATGTTGAAGGACAAAAAAGAAGAGAAAAAAAAAAAACAGAAATAAAATTCAGCGGCCTGGGTAAACTGCTAATGCCTCAGGCTTCCGCATTTGCTCTTCTTTAAGCCTGGAATGATCCACCCCTGGATATTTGCATGACTTCCTCTTATACTTCATCCAACTCTCTCCTTAAATATCATTTCATCAGAAGGACCCAATGGGAAAAAAAAAAAAAAGAAGGACCCAATGATTACTTTATCTATAGCACAATTACCAATACATCATTCACTACACATTAGTCATCCTTTTCTTATTATCACGATATATACGATATCTTTTCCTTAAATACCCTACTCCTAAAATACAATCCACACATAGATTAGGCACTTTGTTTTTATTCACTCCTGTATCCCTAGTGCTAGAATGCACAGGAACACAACCTTTGATGAATATATAAAGAACTTCTTCATTTCTCCATAGGTGATTAGACCTCTTTTTTATCAGCATTTCATCTTCTTGTTCCATTAATTATCTGTTTTCCAATAGGTAAACATTGGGACCACAGATATAGTTTCAACATAAGAAATGCTTACCTCCACATATACCTGTCCCATACAGAACCCTTCCATTCTCTCATATTCACTCCCAGAGACACTCACAGAAACAAATGCCACAGTAGGGAAGGAATTTACCACTAAGAATTGTAGAACTAGTTACAATTTATAAATCACTTTGACCTATTTATTTTTTACACAAAAGTCCTTGGGAAATAGAGTACTTTATTGAAGTGTGTAAATTGAATGAAGTAGCTCATAAAGATTATTTCATTCAGTAAGTTGAATTAGGGTGAATACAATGTCCTCAGGATCCTTTTTCAGAGGTCTGGTAGGTGTGAGAAACACTACCACCCAGGGGTCCCTGTTTTGGAGGAACTAGTAATTTGCCAAAGAGGAGAATATCCGAGATATTCCCCTTGGATAAGTAAGGATTGAACTAAAAGTTGTGAGAAGGGGTATGGAATGAGAAAGAGGAAAAACATATTTTAGAGAGAAGAAGTCACATGTATGAATGCCCTGTTGATGGAAGACACAACATCTTCTGCAGGTCTTAAAATACCCGTATGGCCGGTATGCAGATAGTTGCTAGGCTTTTGGCGTTAATATGCCAGCAGGGACCAAAAATGTGGCCCTTCCTAAATGATGTAAAAGAGACAGCCTCTCTCCAAAGAGCAGGGATCGGTGTTGGGAGCTTGTAGGACAAGCTGCTGGAGGAACTGAGAAACAGACAAGGCTGAGAGAGACGGTCAGATAAAAGTGACAGGACTGGGAGTTAGGTTGGATGTACGGGAACAAAGGGTCATCATCAGGCTTCAGTCCTTTCTTCCCGTAAAAAGGACATGAACATTACCTTCTCCTAGCACTCTGTTTTATTTTTATTGTTTTCGGTAAGCACAGACCTCCACTTCCACAAGTGGGTTGTGACTCGTGTAATGAAATATTTGCCGGCAGGGGGCTGGAAGCTATGTTCAGGGCTCTTACGAGGTAATCCGTCTATTGGCCCAAGACGTACCTAAGCTATGTTAGTTTCATACATACCACGTGGTCTTGTTCTCTTACAAATGACCGGATGAAGGACATAAAGTCCCTCCTATACCTCTGTATGGACCCTCACTGAGAGCTCACGTGAGGCAGCCATGCTGCTGTGCGGCATCTCCTGTCCTGTAGGTTAGCTTAGCCCCAGCTAAGCTACGTGAACCTGACTGGTTTCCGTCCTGCTAAGTCACATGAGTGGGAATGACAAACCAAACCTAAAATTATTCCTGGTGGTCAGTCAGAAAGCATATCACAGGGTGGCAGCATGGAGACGCTGCTGATCCTCAGAACCCGGACTCATTATGATGGACAAGGAACTGTGAGGCAAAAAACAAACAAACAAAAAAACCAAAAAAGGAAGATCTCAGTAGATATTAATCATGATACTTGTTTTAAATGATTGAACTCTATCCCCCACATCGGCATCGCCTGTGTAAATGTGACCTTGTTTGGAAATAAGGTCTTTGCAGATGTAATCAAGTTAAGATGAGGTAATACTGGAATAGGTGGGCTCTCAATCCAATGACCAGTGTCCTTTAAGAAGAGGAGAGGGTGCACCGCATACAGGGGAGAAGGCCACGTGGCAATGGTGGCAGAGACTGGAGCAGTGCAGCAACCAGGCAAGGAATGCCAAGGACTGATGGAAACCACCAGAAGCTAGGAGAGAAACATGGAACAGATTTTCCCTCAGTGCCTACGGGAGAAACCAATTCTGCTAACACCCTGACTTTTGACTTCTGGTCTCCTGAACTGTGGGAGAATAAATTCCTGTGGTTTTAAGCCATAATTGATTATAAAACCTTAGGAAAGTAACACAGTTGAAAAGGTCTGATAAAGAAAGAACTGAGGTTCGTAACAAACCATAATCTCCCCTTTGCTCTAAAAAGAGAAAATAGGGGCATGATGAAAGCTGTATGGAGATAAATTTAGGTTTAGAAATATGTTCACTTCTCCAATCATCCAGTAAGTGAACCTGGTGAAAGATAAAGTTGAATGTGGGCTGGTCAATGTGATCTATGGTAGCCAATGGTACAGATATTGAAAATTGTCCTATGGTCAGATCAGGCTTTAATGACTGGCCACACCAGGGGTTTACGGGACATGATAATATCCACCCCTGCTCACAACTGAAGCTATAAGCCAACCATAGGCATGGGGTTCTCTGTTATCTTTCATTCTATTCAGTATCCAACCAATGCTGAGAAACATCTCAAGTCTATGGGGAAGTGGACCCTGCATCCTACTATGGGGTTATAAACCTCATGTTCACAGTGGGGCTACAAGAAGTTGATGCTAAAGCAGCTGCCACCACACTGGTCACAGAAGGAGAAAGGTACAAAGGAGGCAGAGCCCCCACACATGGGCAGTGACCCCACCGGTGCCCAAGAGTGCCCCGAGAGCCCAGCAGTGATCAGGAAGATAGGAAGGGAATACAAGTAGTATCTGCCTGATGGGAGTCCCAGGTCAACTGGCGGCCACACATAACCTACACCTGAGTTTTCTCCTAACATCAGGACCCATGAAAATGCAACTCTATGCCTCTCTGCAGGTCACACAGTAAAATAAAAGTGTCTCCAGGAAGTGGCGTGCAGGGAAGGATGTTCTTTGAAGTTTTAGACAGCATCCTAGACATTTCTCTTGGTTTCCTGGGCCAGGAATTGCCCCTAGGGAAAGTCAGACCTATTCTTGACATGGAGAGACCTGGGGAACTCAGAAATTTTGCAATGCTCCCTCCCCATAACTCGATATTGAGAGTTCCTGCTTCAGCAACTCCTTAGAATCCAGGGCTAAATCTGTGCCTGCCCCCACCCAAAAAAAACGCCCCATTCATGACCCTCTCTCCAAGAGCTCTAGCTCTCTGGTAAAGATGTTTCTAGAAAGTAATATTTTTAAAAAAGTCATTTAAAAAAAGTCATTTTGTAACATAGGACCACTTTTATTAAATTGCTCCTGGTCTCATTAGTTCATCAGAAGACACTAAGAGTGTTTTCTTTTCTTTTCTTTTTTTTTTTTAAACAGAGAAAATGTTCATTTAATTGCCATTTTGAAAGCTCACTTACAAATTTTGCATATTTCAAATTTAGTAAAAGTTTTATTTAGTGTATCTTATGATGAGAATGGGAAGTGCATTACTCACATGACTCAGCCATTATACTTTAAATACAGAATAGTTTGTGAGTAGAGAAAGGTTTGTTTCTTTAGTTTCTCCAAATGATTTGGGGCTGGGCTTAAAGGTATAGCTGCAATTTACACAACTTAATAAAGCTTTCAACTCCACTATTTTCATACAAGATCTTCCTAAGGATCATCAGGGCATAAATTTTATAGATGTTTTGACTAAGAGTGTTTTCTTCAAATTAGTCCCAACCATTTCCACTGCCATCCCCCTGGCAGGAGCCACCTGCGTCTCCTGCGTGGATTCTGGGTAATGGTTCTCCCTGAAACTATCACTGCCCTTCCTCAGTGTGCTGCCATCGCTGTTCTCATGTCGCTGACTAGAGTGCTCCTCAGAGCAGACACCAGTCCTGTCACCCTTGTGCTCAAATACGTGTCGTCCTGTGTGAGCGGGTCATCATCACCACCAGTCAGGCCACATGACACACCTCCTCCCTCCAGCCTTTAACCCCTGAGGCCACCTCCTTCTCCTCTCTGCCTACTCCGCCCCAGCCCACACTGGCCTCTTTTCAATCCGGGAGGAAACCCATGCTAAAGCCTTTGAATCCCTCATATTCTTAAGATTCTACTCAAATAACTCCTCACAAGGAGGCCTTCAGGAAAACTACTTAATAGTTGCAAGGCCTTTCCGAGGTCACTACCTTTGACACTTAAAAACTGTTACCTCATGCTATTAGTCACCTTCTTGTATACATATCAATTATTTGTTTGTTTACAATCTCTCCCCAGCTCAACTGTAAGCTCTTCTATGTATTTAACATTTACTCCATGTTGAATGCATATTCATTGCACTTTTTTTTTTTTTACACAAGCAGCTTTAGTTCCAATGAATCAATTGTTTAAATAAATAAATAAATCTATTTCATCCTATGGGTTTGGGCCTTGTTTTGGACCCTGGGGGACAATCAGTATCTGGGCAGAAATGGACCCCATCCAGGAGTAAAGCATAGATCCCCCCAGGAAGACAGGAACAGTGACTTCTGAAAAGTAGGCGTACAGGATGTACATGTGTCAGGAGGCATGTAACAAACCCATCAACGTGAAAACTGCTCACAAGTGAGCTTAAGACGGGACATCATCACTGTCAGTCATGGAGCAAATGTCTTAGCAAGACCACTGGATCTCTGGGCTCCTTCATTTTTTTTTTTTCTTAAAGATTTTTATTTATTTATTTGACAGAGAGAGACAGCGAGAAAGGGAACACAAGCAGGGGGAGTGAGAAGCAGGCTTCCTGCTGAGCAGGGAGCCCGATGTGGGGCTCGATCCCGGGACCCTAGGATCGTGACCTGAGCCGAAGGCAGATGCTTAGCGACTGAGCCACCCAGGCGCCCCCTCTGGACTCCCTCTGAGCAATAATCAGCTCCTGTTAATTAGCTCTGAACGAAGAAAAATATTAAGGAATTGAGATAACCATGCAAAGAGGTGTCTACGGAGAAGGAATGATGGAGAAAGAGCCCTAAGGCAGGTGAAGAGGACAGCGGCCTATGCAGGGCGGTGCAAAGAGACCCCTGGGACTGGCACTCGGAAGGACACAGGGCGTAAGGGGGCCAGGGAGGCAGGTGGCAGGCACATCACCCCCCAGGCCAGCGGGAGAGGAAGGCCAGAGACGGCCCCTCGGTTGGTTCCCCCCGGCAGGAATGAGAGAATCAGCTTCAATATGAGCCCGGGCATGCCCCCCAAACTCCAATCTGTCTTGTGCTCCGCTCTAGGAGCCTGGGCTTTCAAACCTCTGGAACACAGGGACCTCATCTGCCAGCTTTTCTTCAAGCAGGTAGAGGTGGGCAGAAGAGAAGATACTTTCTGTTCATCTTTGAGAAAGAGAGAGAGTGAGAGAGGGAAAGGATTCCAGTTCTCAGCGAGGCAGGCAATTCAAACTCCAGAACAGTAAGGGGATGAGGGTGGACGCAGCCTGGAGAAAGAAGGGCCCCTCCAGGAAAGGAACAATGCTCCCCACCTCTTCGGCGC